TTCAGTTCTGAAAAAATCAAAAGAAAATGATAAAAACTTCAAAAAATAAAATCCTTCGAGAGGTAGTTATATTACTACATCTACTAGTTAGGAAAATTTAAAAACTACAATTTCGACATGTTTTGCAAAAAGTGTAAGGAAAATGTAAAACGGCTATAACTTTTGCATACGATGTCGGAAAAAAATGTATAATATATCAAAAAATTCAGCACGAAAATCCGCATCTGATGGAGACGGCCTATGGCCTATTTGGAATTTTTTAGAATCCTCAAATTCCAAAAGGAAAAAAAGATATGGTCAAATTTCAGTTTGTTTTAAAAAATTTGGTTAAATCTGGTCAAACTACGTATTCAAGAAGTATTAATGTTACTACATAATTATTCAAGAATATTAGTGTTACTAAATAATTATTTCAATTTTTTTAATTTTGGTCAAATCTGGTAAAACTATGGTCAAACTGTGGTCAAACTATGGTCAAACTTATTCAAGAAATATTAGCGTTACTAAATAATTACTGTTTTTTAGAATAATAGTTTCAAACTCAAACGGTGAAATGTGTGACTTCATGCTCAAGCTAAACTCCTGAGGGTTAATAGGATTGACATCTTACTATTGTCAGGAAAACAACAAGTGCAGACTCGGAAACGAAGGAGAATAGAACCCAAAAGTTAAGCGTGCTCGGGCTACAGTAGTGAGAGGGATGGGTGACTGGTCGAGAAGTTAGATGATTTGGAATGAGTGATCCACACTTGAGTAGTTAAGAGAGGTGATTAGAGACTAAATCATCAAATAATTCAAAAAAAATAAAAATCAAAAAAAAATTCCAATTTTTTTTAAAAAAAATTCGAAAAAAACCTTTAGTAACCGGTACTAAAGGTCCCCCATACCAGGGCGCGAGCTCACGCCACGTGGTGGCACTTTAGCACCGGTTCGTGCCGAACCGGTACTAAAGGGGGGGGGTTGCCTTTAGTGCCCACCCTTTAATGCCGGTTATGGAACCGGCACTAAAGGCCCTTACGAACCGGCGCTTAAGCCACTAGTGAAACCTATGGCCCCCGGGTCTATTCTCATCATATCAATCTCCATCACTTTAATATTGTTTTGCTATTTACTTTGCCTTTACTTTTTACTTTGCATCTTTATACCAAAAATACCAAAAATATTCTATCTATCAGATCTCACTCTTGTAAGTGACCGTGAAGGGCTTGACAACCCCTAATCGCGTTGGTTGCGAGTAGCTATCGTTTTGTGCAGGTACATGGGACTTGAGCGTGGCCTCCTACTGGATTGATACCTTGGTTCTCAAAAACTGAGGGAAATACTTACGCTACTCTGGTGCATCATCCCTTCCTTTTCGGGGAAAACCAACGCAAGCTTAAGACGTAGCAAGAAGGATTTCTGGCGCCGTTGCCGGGGAGTCTGCGCAAAAGTCAATATACCGAGTACCCATCACAATCCCTATCTCTCGCATTACATTATTTGCCATTTGCCTCTCGTTTTCCTCTCCCCCCAATTCACCCTTACCGTTTTATTCGCCCTCTCTCTCTATCCTCCCTCTCTATTTGCCTATTTTGCCCGTTTGCTCTTGTTTGCTCGTGTGTTAGATTGCTTGTTTGTCGCGATGGCTCAAGATACTACTAAATTGTGTGACTTCACCAATACCAATAATAATGATTTCCTTAGCACTCTGATTGCTCCTCTTACCGATGCTGAATCTTGTGAAATTAATACTGCTTTGTTGAATCTTGTTATGAAAGATCAATTCGCCGGCCTTCCTAGTGAAGATGCCGCTACTCATCTGAATAGCTTCGTTGATTTATGTGATATGCAAAAGAAAAAAGATGTCAATAATGATGTCGTTAAATTGAAGCTATTTCCTTTTTCTCTTAGAGATCGTGCTAAAGCTTGGTTTTCGTCTTTGCCTAAGAATAGTATTGATTCATGAAACAAGTGCAAAGATGCTTTTATCTCTAAGTATTTTCCTCCTACTAAGATCATCTCTCTTAGAAATGATATTATGAACTTTAAACAACTTGATCATGAACATGTTGCACAAGCTTGGGAGAGAATGAAATTAATGATACGTAATTGCCATACTCATGGTTTGAATTTGTGGATGATTATACAGATTTTTATGCTGCATTAAATTTTGCTTCTAGAAATCTTTTAGATTCGGCTGCGGGAGGTACTTTTATGGCAAACACTTTAGGAGATGCTACTAAACTCCTAGATAATATTATGGTTAATTATTCTCAATGGCACACTGAAAGATCAGCTAATAAAAAAGTGAATGCGATAGAAGAAATTAATGTGTTGAGTGGAAAGATGGATGAACTTATGAAATTATTTGCTACTAAGAGTGT